GGGCAGTGACCTGGCGGGGGCCGCTGTCCGCGGTGCTGAAGGGCCGGGGCGGGAAGGGAGCTGGGCGGGGGCCGCGCTGCCCGCGGGGCTGAGGGTCCCGGGAGCGGGGGGACGCGGACCCCAGCCCAGCCCCACTTACCCGGCACGGCCAGGAGCAGGACGGCGAGCAGCCCTGGGCGGCTCATGGTGCTGGCGGGACGGAGAGAGGGGCAGAGGGTGAGTCTGTCCCTGGTGTGAGGGCTCCAGGCGCGGTGCCGGCGGGAGACCAGCGCCGTGCGTGTCTACGCCAGTGCCCTGGCTGAAGATCTCAGATGGGGCACTGCAGCAACCGGCTCATTTATATATCTCAGCCCCTCGGAAATGGCGTCAGGAGGAAGCCACCTCCTCCTCTCCTCTCTCCCCCCTCCCTTCGCACACAGCCTTCCCATCAGCCTCCACCACTCACCGGGTGTTGGAGGAGCAGCCGCACGCCAGGATCCCCCCGACCGCCCCGGCTGCCGGGGCAAAGGGTTCCAGCAGCACGGTGTCAGGCTCCAGTTGCCTCACCTTCTCACCCTCAGCAGGAGCAGGGCGGTTGCGAGGTGTGTTTCCAGGATATCACTTTTCCAGCGCTTCCCCCGGCTCTGGCAATCTACCAGCACCTCTGCATATGTGCCCTCTCTGTATGTACCAGTAGTCAAGAGTGGGAGTCACCTCCTGTGTCCCAGCCAGCATAGCCACCTGTAGATGGATTTGCCCTCTAGGGGTGCCCTTGTCTTTCACTGACCACAGAAGGTAGATGGATAGACAAATAGTTTAGAACACACGCTGAAGTTTTTAGCTGCCTCTTAAACGTCTCCACAGAGGACAGGAGTGCCTGTAAGACTGGTCAAGAACCAGAGAACTGGTCACCATGAAACCCGTTTGCCAATGGAGATGATAAGTCCCAGCTATTTTCTGAAAGATTTTTAAGCAGTAGGATATCATTTGGGGTAAATCGCAAAGGCTGGTGTGTCCGTTGCTCAGCTATTGTGACTCTGCAAGCAAATTTTAATAGGTTGCTGTCCTTTGTTCAGTGGTTCACAACAACCTATAGCATCACCCTCCACCCTCATTGCTAAGCACTCCAAAGTTGAAGTAACCAAGATTACCTGGTCACTAGTTTCCATTCACAAGGGAGAGAGAGGAAGTAACAAATCGCACCATTCTCTTAGTCACAAGCATTTCCATGCTCGTGACAAAAAGTCTGTCTGTTCTTTGGATGGAGCATCTGTCAGGTCAGACAGCTGGATTCTCTTTTGAAAGTGACTCCAACGCATCTTTAGGACAATGCTTCTTTCGGAATAGCACCTCTGCTATTCCGTGCTATCCCTCAAGCAATTTCAGAGGTCACAAAAGCCAGGGAACTTATACTAGAAAACCAGTTTTCAGAAAAATGCACTGTCCTTCTTCTCCACCTTAAATTATTCTGCTCACTGGGGAGTCCTGCACCCAAGGAGCTGGAGAAAACATACTTGTTCAAAATGACAAGAACTTTTCTATGAGACCAGGGGGTACAAACTGCACTATAGGTTTCCACCTTCTCTTTCCATACAGACATGGAAATGTGCTCCCAAATGTCCTCTAATATCTGATTTAAATGCATGCTTCAAAAGGCACATTTGGATTGTAAAAGCCCACTCATACAAAATCAAAGCTCCCCTTGTCTGTTCCATTTTCTATTTAATAGCAGAGAAAAGCTGGAAATAAATTGATCCTCTGAACAATGCTTTGTGGATGACATTGATTGATAGTTAAATGTTTATAAAACCATGAAATGAACACCCATGACAGTTCTTGTTGCATGGGGAACCTGCATCCTCCAGGAACAAAAGCTATCCTTTCTTTTTGGTTGTTGGGTTGGGGTTTTGTGTGTGTGTGTGCTGTTAAATTATTTATTGGGGGGTGGGTGGGTGTCATATGCAATGGCCTTTTACTCCTTCAGGATGCACCCGAGCATTTTAGTCTCCGAGTCTGAAATATTGAACATTATTAAGCTTGTTAATTCCTATGTATTCTTAAGAGAGAAACAGATTGATCTGCTTATCAGACTGTGTTTACCTAGTCAATATTTACTTATCCTTACATATAAATGTTGATCTTATTAGGGCAATAAATTATCTCAGTTCTAATCAAGTTTCTGACATGAAGCCCTTTTCTTTCCTGGGGCCCTTTTTTGAGAAATGTCACAGGATATGCAATGCCCATGACTATATTTTTTTCTCTCTTTCTCAAGCTGTGGTCTTACATCCATGAAGTTCATTGCAAAGGAGAAACTAAATGTTTTCCAGGTATGGCATGCATTCTCCCACTGTAGTAGCATAGAACGGATGATTTATTTTTCTACTTCTTGCCCCAGGAAAATGGATATGAAACTGTTAATCCAGCAATCAGTACTTCTGCTATTGGAATTTGTCTCATTAGGCACAGCTATATTAGGAACTGTCAAAGTAAAGCATGTCAGGGAAAGATTTATGTCAAAGAGCAAAAGTGATCAAATAAAAAAGTGGAAGGTATTCTGCTACTCGGAGAAATGCAATGCCAGAAGCAGACTTCAAGGGAAGAGCAGATATGTGAGTCGCTGAAGTAGTTTGTGTTTTAGTATATGGAGAACAGGAGCAGATCTTTAGTGGGTTGCAAAGTGATGCTGATGGTCATTTCTGACCAGTTCCAGTCTTACAAAAAGCTGTTTATGTCTGTAGAGAGCAATTCCATTTTTCCTTATAGCTGCCCATTTTCTAGTGCATGAAGTGTGGTGAGAATTTGGAGAGCCATATACCATTATCTGCCCGTGGTCACTAACATACCACGTGCAGGTGGAGAGGCAGGTGAGTTATTGCAGTAGGAAAAGGATATTTGTTTTCCTAGCCTGACAAGTGATTTGAGAAGACGGCAGTGTCTGGATGGATGGAAGTAGACACCCAGCATTAGACAGCCAGAGCATTACCCATGCTCTGAGCTGAGCAAATGAGCGGGCCAGCCTGAAAGCCATATTACTATATGAATATCTTCCTATGCATAAGGTCATTTGCTCAAGAGATCATGTGGCTTAAGTGCTATTCTCAATCAACACATAAGAGTCAATTTTTTTTTTATTTCAGAACTTAGGAACTAAAACCAGAGTATCTGAGATATGGCTCTGAGCTACTTTGAGAGGTTTGTTCTCGAATTTCTTGGTTGAAACTGGGTTAAGAATTCACCCCTCTCCTGTGCTTGGAAACAGTGACACTGCATTTCAGACTGCTGTGATTTTACAGATCTGGGAACTGAGGCACAGAAAAAGTGTCATTTTGATGAAGGCATCAAAAAGGCTTGAAGCCAAGGCACAGTTATTACCCATAACTTAACCAAAAAGATTGCTAAGCAAAAAATAGGCAAAAATCACCTTCTTGCATATGAAATGAACTGATAACTCTTTGACTGAAAACCTGAACGTAAGCACACTGACAGATTAGTAGCAAGGTCTATTAAAACCCGCACATCACACCTTTTCTTCTTTCCCACATGTTAGTCAATCACGCTCGCCTCTCAGTTCCCTCGTACAAGCCTGGCTTGTCTGCCTGTAAATAGCAAGGAGCTTCAAAGCTCAGACTGCTGTTGTGAATATCCATCTATGCTGTTAAAAGGCAGTCCTCTCTCTTCTTTTTCAGGTCAGAGGCAAATTGATGTTGACTTGCTTTGATTTTCTTAGTCTAGACTGTGCTTGCACCAACCTGAAATTAACTGATTTTTCCTGTTCAAAGGTTTACTTACACCCCATAAAAAAGCCCAACATTGTGCCCAATCCTGACAGTAGCTACTGCTCTGCCTGTCCATTTCCATCCTTGCCTGGCATGCACAGCTCTTACTGGGGCAGATGGAGTATGTTCTCTGTTGGGAGAAGAGACATCTCTGTAGCAATCACAGAATACCATCTGGGCACCCTTACAAATAGCTTGGATCTCAATATAATTTTTCTAAACGTTATTCAAACACCAGTCTGGAAAATGTCATACCCCTCCAATGCCTTGGTCAGTTCACCGAGCACTTAGGGAAAGCCTCGCTGCTTCCTGTGAGCCCCACTGAACCAGTAAGAAAAGATGTGGAGATGGAGGTTGTCCCCAGCCAAAGTGATCTCAAACAGCCCCCTCAGGAAATTACTGATTATGCCCATGGCTATGCTTTTATTTGACTTGTGACAACAAAGTCAGTGTCATGCTAATGTACATATTAAGTAACACAAAACAATTTTCTAAGTTCTAGAATGGTCTAAAACAAGTTCATGAGAAGGTCGTTGATACTGCTCAATGTTTGCTTACTTCCAAAGTGAGAGCCAGATAGTCCTATTTCTTGCCCTGCAGGCACTAACAGGGTTCATGAGAGTTAAGGAAAAAGTAATGACAAGAATGACTCAGGTCTTTGGACCCGCACTCCTTTCCTGGGGGTCTGTAAGCTCACCACACTACCTCCACTCTGCCGGCAGCTCATAGTTATCTCATGGCCCCTCAGTCATCATCATCATCATCATCATCATCATCATCATCATCATCATCATCATCATCATTATCATCATCATCATCATCATCATCATCATCCCAGATTCTGTACATTAAATAACTGCCTGCTATATTTTGTGCAGACTAATCTTATTCCTCATCCTCTAAACAAAGCTTTTAAACACCTGCTTCTTCATTCCTGAAGTGTCCCAAGCTGTCCATCCACTCCAGGCCAGTTGCTCAGTGAACACCAAGTGAGGCACAGGGGTATGTGGGTCTCCTGGGTTCCCCATACAACCAGAGTATGCATACTGATCAAATGCTGTGATCGTGGCAGGGTGGTGGTTTTTTTTGAGATGTAAGTTAGATGCTCTTGTGCTAACTTTCCCAATTCATGGAGATGAAGTGACAAAATTCCTAATTAAAGAAACAGTTGCAATTAAAAAGACCTTTTTTCTAAAGGCAGGGTTTAGGATCGTGAAACACATAAGCACTTTCCATTCTAGACACTTTCTTTGATCTCCTTGGCTCACATTGGAAATAATGCACTTGAAGAGATGAAGACAACTGAACACAGCCTGCTTGCCTGCCACTGTTGCAGAAAGACGGAGGAAAGGGGAGAGGAACAGTCATCTGGGCATCTGTCTACACCCTTCTGTCCCCCAAAAGTGTCAGCCACAAAAGCCAGACTTAAGGACTACCATGGCATTGCTGTCCCCTAAGAATATTCTTCTCTAAACAGTGGCAATAACACATCATAAACCAGTTACTTGGAGATACGGAGCATAAGGACACAGCGATTGCTATTCTGGGTTGGAGCAGGGAGCCAGGATCCAGCCA